TTTTGAGCGTCCAGAAGTGTAACGTGAGCCTAGTTGTGCATATCCATGAGACAATACCAATGAAAATGTAAAACTTTCCTATTATTGACTTTTTTTACATAAAACTTTCACCAATATATTTTTAACATTTTCCTGATAAAAATAAGACCAAACACGATATAATTTGGACTATATTTACTAGTTTAATTGATTAGAAAAGTTTCTGACGCCAATGACGTTGATAGCGAGTGAAAAAGAAAGGAACGCTACGATCGCGGCAGTCGGCAAAGATCAAAAGTCTGTTCAATTGTTTAGAATGCTAATGCGTTTCTAACTTTTTTATTTTTTATCCATTTTTTATATAACTTCCTCCATCATATTCGTGACATTTTTCTGATTAAAACGAGTCCAAATACGATGTAATTTGAGTTATATTTACTTGCAATAACTTATTGTAGAAAAGTCAGCGATGTACGCTCAATATTTGAAATTACATGTTTCGAATTACGCCGTGTTTGGTCTCATTTTAATCAGAAAAATATCACAAGTGTGTTGGTGACAGGTTTATTTAAGAAAAATAAAAAATAAACAAATTTCATTCTTACATTGTTCAACCGATATGTTATTGGTTTTTTTACGTTTGGTATCCTTCACTTGCTGTCCTTTTCCACGTTCGCCAAAACATCAATCAATATAGTACCTGTACAATATATGCAACAGTTCAGACCCGAGAGATTTGCAGATACCGAATATTTACTATATTTTATTGCTGTCGGAATATGAGATCGTTATTTATTTAAATAAAACTGAAATTAAACATCTTCAAAAATAAATGAATTTATTGAAACGACTCGGAAAGACATCTGCACGATTCAAGAATCGAACTAAGAAGTGAAGAGATTTTTCCAAAACGCATAGTAAAACTGGCGCCAATTTCTTGAGGAAAAATAACAGTCTGTAACGTATTCGCCCAATCAGTGTTGAATTTTCATATCAATGATATTAGCAAAAAATAAATGTATTGAGAAATCGGTAATCAAGTTCGTGCATTTATCGATTACTTATAAGATACTACCCGATTTTGATACAGATCTTCGTATGTTATTAAAATAAAATCCATATATTTCTTCGTTATTGTTTTTCTATTGTTTTTCTAAATATTATAATTTTTCACATGTATAAAATATAGTGGGCTATTTAAAGAGGTACTTCCAAATAATTTTTCTTAAATAATAAATTCATTTAGTCTTTTAAAAATTATTGTGCTTTTGTGTGATTTTAAAATATAATAACCTCTCATGTTAAATCAGAAACCATACCCTATTTCCATTAATTAGATCTTAGACATCAGCATGGCTTGGGGTTCATTGATTCGGCTTTTCTTTATTGTAGACCCAGTGACTCTCAGTATATAGATTAATTCTTACTCATTACTTAAAATGAAAGTTCAACAGTTGTTATGACACTACCTTTAAAAAGGCCGTCGATGTTCTGACGATTTCGAGTTAGCGTTATATTTTATTTTTGTGGTAAACATCTAGTTGCAGATTAAATAAAGAGCAGTTGCGTCGCGTTCCGCTTTTCGTGTTTAATTAAAAAGAAAATGCGAGTTTTTTGAGGAAACTTACGATGACTATATCCTATAGCAATATGCATGTTTTGGTCCTACTGTAGGAACACAAAACGCAAAAAACTATGGGTTAACAACCATCAACATCATTATAAGTAATACTAGTGGAACGCCCCGTGCTATGCACGGGAAATTAATCAGTTAAAAATAATTTTAAGAAAAAAAATACACCGACTTCGAAATGCACTAAAAAGTATAAAATAATTTCTATTTCATTCAATCATACAATTACGTCACAGATATGAATGAAACCTATTTACTCGTTAGGTAGTGTATTAAATACATTTCAACCTTTTCGGAGGCGGCGCAAAATTAAAAGATTTTCTTGAACATGTCAACCTTTGGACAGCCGAACATAGGCAAAGCTTGTATAGCTATTTTTTTTCTATATATATATATATAATCTATATATATATACAGTCGGTGTGGAAAGTATTCGTACAGCGACCAATTTTAAATAAAATGTTGTGCGTAAACGTCAATTACAAATTTTAAGGGGAAAAAATGATGAATAAATATTCTTGGGTGTTTGTAGAAAAGATGTCGTGAAAACTAAATTTTATTTTCTTCAGGATTAACAAAAATATACAATAAGAACAATTGAATGTAAGAAATCGTCGCACAGAAAGTATTCGTACAGTTATGAATAATGAAAAATAAACTA